TGTGACTTTTATATCGAAATTCAGTATTCGCTGCTACTTTTTCATTTCACGAACAAAAATTTTCGTAACAAAGTACTCATCGCCAGTGTGGCGATGAGTACCCTTCGTGATATCAGCCAGGGGAGTGGTTGTTTTTTGATAAGTGTCAGTCCATTAACCTACAGGGTAGGTGAGGTGAGACTGGCCTGAACGAATTGTTTCTTTAGATAATTTGACTTTCAATATAATGATATAATAGTATGCTAATATAGAAACGCATTCCACTACATAGAATGTACCAGTTCGACTGAAGAAGTTACTGTGTAGCGAAACGGGTCTTCAGTTGTTTTATCATCATGGAAAATATTATTAATTTCTATTTACTAATTGGTCAATTGTACTGAATTTAATAATATCTATTTTGAACAATCGCATTCCCAGAAATACAAAAGTCAGTGAGTTACAATTTTATGTTTCATCGTGACAATTTTCCAGAAAGGCTGAATTCATATTTTCCCGTCTGTATTTCTGCTATATTTCGTTAGGTCGTTATTTACATTTTGTATGGCTTTACGTGTATGGTTTACGTGTAATCCGTTTGAATACTTTTCATAAATTTCACAATAATTTTAACGAATTACAAACGAAACAATGCTTTATTCGAAATGTAACATTGTCATTCCGCCACATATAATTTCCGTAAAATTCACAATTAGTGCACGAACACACAAATGTTCTGGATTATGTTTTGACCTCTTTCTGTTGTTCACCAAACAATGTCCATCAGATTATTCTGAACAATGGCCAGGAATCAAGGGTCACTTGATATTTATTTACGAAAAATAAATACGATAGGTCTCATAATGAAATATCAGTGAAAAATTGTAGGGCAACAAGAAAAATTCTAACCCAAACTATTACCTATGTTGAACTTGATAAAAGAAATATTTCAGCAAAATCAACTAACATTTCTGACACGAAATAATTTCGCATCTTTGTTAACTTTGTTATTCTAGGGAAGTTTATAGAATGGTTTTGTTGCAAAACATGGTGGGCGACTGCTGATTTTTCTGGTCTTTCAAATTTTAGGTGTTCTAAGTATTCCTTATATTTTTTAGTCTGCCTATAATATTTTGCATTGCATTCAATTTCGTAAATTCCAGACTCTTCCAAATTCTCGACTTTGTCCTGTGAATTTCCTAAAAGGCTCTGTAGTATATGACTTGTTTTATATACCACCTTTATACCTAGTTCCTTGGAAATCTCTCCAGAGTTCTTCGTGTATTGGTGGTATGGAACTGAGATAAAATTATTTTGGTTTTCGACGTTTCTAAAAGTCGAGATTTCGTTCATTTTCAACCTGAGCTTTCCCTTCCTTATAATATCGTCTACAATACCCATCGAGAAACCGTTACTGACTGCTATTTCCTGTATTGTCATTTTATCTTTTGTGAACCTCTCATGTGTGAGAGGGAACGACGATGCACTAGAAAATTCAACCCAGCACCTTTGTGCTCTCCACAGTGATGTGAACTGTCAGAAATATACCTGTGTGTTTTTTTTTCTTTCTATAGATCGTATTCTAGCTTTCCACATTGACTCTTCATTACTAAAACGTCAAGAAATTGAAATTGTCCTTCATTTCCAACTCATACTTGAATTTTATTGATGAAAGTCTCTTTGAAAAGGAAACAAAGTTCTCAATATTTGATTTTTTGTTATCGAATATCGCAAAAACATCATCCACATAGGTACCTCAGCCATATCCTAGGGAAATACTTTGACGTTTCTTTGGTTTCCATTTCGAATTTGCTCATGAATAGGTTAGCCAGCAAGGAGGACAAGGGGTTATCCATAGCAGTCCCGTCGTGTTGTTCACAAAAGCAACCTTCTACCTGGAAACGGTTTTGTTTCAAACACAAATTACACACGAATTCATCAATTTCGTTATCATTGAAATGAGGTCTGTATGAACTCTAAGGAGTTTTTGATACTAAAACCTGGTTCAGCAACAGGCAAGTTTTAAAATTCGTGTCAGCCATTGGAATAGCTGAAACGATGGGCGGCATTGATTTTCCCGGTTTGTGGATTTTTTGAAGGCAATATAGTTTTGACACCGGCACCGTTCGGTTGGAAACTTATAAGTTCCGTTTTCTTTCCGTTGAGGGGTAAGTGTATTTAACGTTTGTTTGAAGGTGGTTGACAATGTTTCGTGGTGTATTTCATCAGTTTGGACTTCCATTGTCTAATATAATATAAATTGATTTGAAATTTCTGAAAAAATATTAAACAAGATTAACCGAAAATAACAATTTTATTTTAACAACAAAAAACTGAAATTACAAAGAAATAACATATAATTAAACAACAACCAAAAAATGAAAATTGAAATATTAATGAAAGCTGAAAATGAAAAATTATGATTAACAAAAAATTAAAAATAAAAATTGAAAGATTTCAAATCAAGTTATGTCACGACGTTTCGATTGTTAGTGTCCACAATCGTCTTCGGGTGAATACCCCTCCCGATATAGAAGGCCCCGACACTTTGTCGAATGAGGCCCTCATGTCCCCCGTTAACGGATGAACAACTTTCTCATCCATCCCACCCCAGCCAGGTAGGGGTATACCGTGAAGGCGGCACTGATGTCTGAGGACTTCATGCCGTCATACCATCAGTCATGTGGTCGTTGGTCGTTTTTCGTTTGATTAGAGGTTTCCATATGTTACGTATCTCTACGCCAGCTTGACTAAATGCGTTGTTGGACAACATATACGCGGCTTCTTTTAATTGTCTCCTAAACCGGTGTTCCTCCAGCTTGAGCCCACTTGATGTTATGTTGATGAGCGCAAACATGCTCTGCTATTCCGGATTTGCTGCTTTCTCCTCGCTGTGTGTGTTTCTTGTGCTCAGCAATGCGAACTTTCAGTGGCCTCTTAGTTTCACCGATGTATGATTCTCCGGTAAATGCAATTTTTGGAATCACAGTCCGCGTTTGGTGGCCTGGTTTTCGTGAGGCTGCTACGGATAGTATTCCCAGATCTGAAGCAGGATTGGACCCAATCCTTCGTATCCTTTCCGATAATCCTCTGATGTAGGGAAGTACAAGTACTGGTTGTGGTGGCTTATCTTCCTTGTGGAGCTCTTGCTGTTTTCTAGCTAACAGGCTTTAGCGGCACAGGTATAGAACGCGTTTGTGGGGAAACTCTTCTCACTCGCAGAAAGTCTTCATTTCCAAAAAAAAATCATATGATGTATAGATGATGCCAAAAGTGACTGCTCATGTCATAATTTCTACAAAAATCGAAATTAAAATCTTTAATAACTTACCAGATACTCTGGTCTGGAACATGAGAATACATTCAAAAAATATTTAAAACTTTATTTAGTTGAAAAATGTTTATAGTCCATGAATGAATACTTCCAAATAACTAACTAACCATGTACCGTCTTATGTGTGATAATTAACTTTGCTTTTATTGATAAATACCATTTTTATTTTATTTGTACTGTATCTGCGTACCTATGTATATATCTCTTTGTCTCTTATTTACCTAACCAACCTGACTGTTGTTATACAATATTGTCTTGCAGAAATAAAATTGATTGATTGAGCTCGTTTCGAATCTAAAAATGATATGTAACCATTTTTTCATTATTCGCTTGGGTTTTTCATTTATTAAAGATATATTCAACTACATAATCACAGCTCACGTTACCTCTATGAAAACAAGAATTCGATTAAATACAATTCCATCTGATATCTTTTCAGTGGCTGTGAGCATATTGATGGTCCTAAAATATCGTGCTCTTCTGGCCGTATCAGTTTTTTTTTTGTTGAAATTATACTAATTTTCAAATTTCGGAGCATATAATCAGTGGATAAAAATGAATTCACTGAATCATACAAAAAATTACCAATTTCAACAAAAATATATTTCATAAAAGAAATAGTAATGTCATCTGGACTTCTTTTATTGAAAAAGTTTTGAAAAACGACATTACTGATCAAATTAAAATCTAGTTTAATACATTCACAAGACCTCCACGTACGAAATAATTAGATCAAGAATAATGAGGCCGTTTTTTTACGATGGCTGCTTGAATGGTGCAAAGTATAGAGAGTTTATGAACTTAACCTGAGTATTAGTCACAATTTGTAATTTCAATAGGATGAATTATGAATGGACCGACCCGTCACACAAACTATTCATGATTATAATTACACATTTTTCACAAACCGTAGCTTCTTCAGAGAAGCTACGGTGTTAGCGAAACGCATTTAGAAATAAAAATGTTCATGAATATTGTGTAATCATTATCATAGGTAGCAAAATGATTGAGAACTTGTCATCGATTTCCGATTATCGTCCAATGATGAGTGGATAGCAAGAAAGGCCCTATTCTATTGCCTTCCATGCCTGCTGGAAAGAAAAGCTATATTGTTACGAAAATCTTTACCTCCTCGCCTGTTATTGGCGAGCTGCCAATAGCAGGGTCACGCTGAAAAGAGTTTTTTTCTGAGCACCTTTCGAGGAAAAAGTGAACTTTTCCAAATATTCACTCAAATGTTTTTTTTAATCGCCTCACATATCTTTATATGCCACTTGTTGCATGTTATTTGTAATATTATTTTTCAGCAGAAAAATATTACATACGAAACTTTTCCTCAGAAAGAAGATGAAAATGCGTTATAAATTTTTTTACCCGATTACATATTGAAGAGTCCAAAAAAATTATAATTTGATGGTTCAAACAATTTCGTAACAGAGTTATCAATTCTGCACACTTAATTTGTATTTGCCATCATATACTATTGATTGATTGATAGTTCATCTATCAACTTATCTACAAAGTTTTTTTCTAAGGAGTTTCGTTTTCTCAGTCATCGTAGAAAATTATCTAGAAATAGACAAATCAGTATACTCAGTACATGTGTACCATCAAGCTTCATCAGTATATAACTATACTCACTTTTTGGTTAATTTTTTTTGGATTTTCATTAATTTTTTATTTTCAGTTTTTGTATGGGTTGCGGGTCTGATAGCATCTATTGGGGTGGCAGTTCTTGGTGTTTTCTGTTTTCTCAGTGTACTGCAATTGGCCATGTTGAACTCCAAGGAACAAGTCGTCGTTAAATACAGTATCGTTGTGATATCCAAAGTGGGAATTGGTTTGCTATCAGGTAAGAAATAGAGTTATGTTTCAAAAATCATCCCTATCGGTATACGGTCAGTAAGACTCAAAACAATATTCGGAAGTCGAGTCGTTAGAAACAACTCTTTTGATTATTTTTTTTCCAATTTTGTTTTTTTATGTCATTCCAAATCAAGAATTTTTTGAAGCGGACAGAGAATTTCTTTTATTTCTTCAAACAATATATATGTATGCTATTTATACAGGAAATTCAAAATTTTTCGTGATTTTTTTCTGAAAAAACTGTATATTCACATAATAACTATGGCACCAAGGTTGAAGTTGTTTTTGATGGATACATTGATAATGAAAGAGAGAATAGATATATAAACTATATTTCAATATAATTTTTTAATTAACCAAATTCATTTTTCCAGAGGTATTATTTCTCTATTGTTGATCATGTAAGTAAACTGTGAGTTGTTTGGTATTTCTGAGATATACAAAATGATAACTGGATCCTGTATGATAAAACCAGTTATTCGACAGAGATTAACGTTGATTATTAGAAGATCTGCGCCTTTTTTTGAGATAAACATAATACGCCTTCGCTTGCAAATGGTCTGAAACATGTACTTATATTTTTGATGATTTTTGCACCTTACTTTATGAGAATACTCAATACTTTCATTTGAATGCATTTATTCATTTGGAATGGAAGTTTCAGCTAAAGCACATAACCTTCAGAAAAATCATTACAAATTTCAATTTAGTGATTTTTTCTTTCATTATAAAGAATGTATGATTTGTTGTGATAATAGGATATTTCGTTACCAAGGTTATTGTCGAATGAAATTGTTTTAAAAACATTCATCATCGGGTGCTAAAGCCATCAATACCACTAACACAACACCCATCAATTGCTACAACAACTACCCCATTGAAGTCTTAAGCCGATTGTAAAAATGAATGATCATCATCACTTTGTGCTTGATTTCAATGAATATTATTTTTGGACAATTCTCCGCATAGAAATCTAATGAACCTTCTTCAGTTTTGCTCTTTTCTAAAGTATCTCTTCATATGCTTAAAGGCATGTATTATTCAGTGAAAGATCGATTGGAGTGAGACTTCTCAAATGCGTCAGTTTAAAAACTTTAATGTTGATGCAAGTCATAGCTTTCACGAAAATATCTAATGTACTCTTGTTGAACTAATCAATAAGTATATGAGGAATGTTCTAAAAAAAAGCTGCCCAAAACTGATTTTTTGTATATTCGAAAATATTATACATATTGTTCAAACAATATAAATAACTCTGATCTCCCTTCGGAAGGTTTTTGATTTCAAATATTATAATAAAACAAATCATTGAAATGAGTGCTGCTTATTTTGAAGAGAATCCTCTATTGATTCGACTATATGTACCCCGTATTTCACATTGAAAATCTCTTTTCTCCTCTTCCGTGGTTTGCAATACAGCCAACTTGCTCATATGTTTCATGACGTTTTCGATGAATGTCAGAAACAGTGCGAATCAATATATTCAGTTCGTTTCCACCCCATAGTAAACAGTGGCACCCCAACGTCCTTGTCAGTTTCTGTTATTTTCATTTCATCACATTTTCCGAAATATGGAATATTGTCGGCGGTAGGTAATGCCACTCATGTAAGTGTTTACTTTCCCGCATAATTTCCAATATTCGATTGAGTTTGTATAATGAGAAAAAAATATCGGGAAGACTGAACTCGGTTGTACGGATTTATTGTGTATTCAGTCAAATTAATTTATTCGTCATTTATATTAGGTGTTTTCTGGCGTTTAATCGTATCCGAGTGTGTATTCGTAGTTACGTTGTTACGTAGTTACGATTCGTAGTTACGTCACTAATAATAAGATTCGCCAGAAGTGAATTATTCAATTTGTGTCAGATGTCAACTTCAATAATAAAAACAAAGTTTTCTATTTTCTCTAACGTCAATTATAATCGGATTTGGGCAAGTAATAATTTTCCAGCGTTATTTCGTACATCCTTACAAGATATTTGATGGAAAGTTTTCAACACTTTATAAACTATTACGATAAAAATAAAACAGAAACACAACTGACGTAACGTAATGTCAAATTCCGTTTCAAAACCTCACGCTAGTTTTGAATCATGATGAATACGTTTCAAATCATAGTTGATGTGACGTCATCGTTTTAACGCCAGAATGAATGTATTTGAATGAGTTCCGTGGTGGCCGTGGTAGTGGACGGACGTGCTGATAACGTCCGTCCACAAAGAAGGTACGCGGATGCCATGTGCTATCGTGGGGCTCCGTTTTGTGTTGCATTAAAATTGAAATGTGGTGTCTGAAAAAGTGATAAATAAGTGGCCCCCTTTATTCACGCCGGTATCCAGGCCGCGGTGGTTCGGATAACCACGTAAAGGGGGCTATATATGTGAAAAATTACCAAAAGGTATCCCAAGTAGGAGGCGACTTCAAAAAATGAAATTGTTTTTATGTTAAAAAAACTAGACAGAAAACGCCTATTATTTGTACAAATTACCCCTATCTACAGCTGTGGCGGAAATTTGCTACTGCTTTGAGGTTTATTGAAAATATGTTTTTTTTTACTTTTTTGCGCGGTTTTGAAGGAGAATGAAATATTCTTAGCAGACGAGTTGGATTTGTTAGGGTTCTGGATAAAAATATATTGCTTATTTGGTGTATGTAAAACTGTTACTTTGAACAATCAAGTTTCTGTCGATAATCATCGATTGCAATAATAATTTTTTTTCGTACCCTCGAATCTTCAGAAGATATCAAGATCGGTAACTCTGAAGGAGTTGATTGAGCCACGTATTCGCTCAAATATTCCTGGAGTCTCTCTGATTACCCTGCACGCATCGATGATGCGGTTTCTTAAGTCCTCTACATCGCGAACTGGAGTACGATAAACCAAATGGCTCCAAATAGAGAAATCGAGAGGATTGAGATCCGGGGATCGAGCGGGCCAGTTCTGTGGTCCTCCTCGACCTATCCACTGATTTGCATATGTTTCAGTTAAATGCTGACCTGCTACTTGACTAAAATGGGCGAGAGCCACATCATGCATAAAAAACATATTTCTTCTGGCGCCCAAAGGAACTTCCTCCAGCAGTACTGGATGCACTTCTCTCAAAAATTGAACATATGCCTCACCATTCAATCGAGGAGGTAGAAAATGAGGCCCAATTGAATCATCCCCAATAACTCCGAGCCACACGTTAAGTGGGCTCCGAGCCACACGTTAGCGTGAGGGTTTTCATCAGCCCATATTGGTAATTATGTACATCTTCATTCAACGGCTAAGACGATCTTTCAGTTTTTTTCTTATTTTTTCAGCATTATTGGCGATTGTAGCAGCCGGCCTATTCGCTCTGCAGATAGACGACAGAGAAAACAACGGATTCGAGATCACTCGAGGGCCAGCATTTTACATTCAGGTCAGTACACACGGATACTATTCTCATATTCCCAGTCCCTTTTGTAATATGTCGGATGACGGGACGGTTTACCACGCTTTCCTGCAGTCGATCGACCGTCTATATTTACCCGATGCTGGAGCGACGTTTGAGATAACTCCTGATTCCTGAGGCTCATTTGAACCGTCTAGGACGACAGTTGTCACTATTACTTGGAGATATATCGACATTGTAGGCCAATGGCCGTCTATAGTTACATCAATAAACGCTCCGCACGGGTACACTAATGATAATGTGCTAAGGGCGAAGCGCCCCTCCCCCATGGCCCCTCCCAGGTTGAGTGCCCTGGGATAAAAACGTCGCCCCACGAAATAAATTTTGTGAAGAAAACTTAATATCCCTTTCCTTCCACCCCCGCTCTTATGTGAGCGGTCCGCAATCCTTGCTGATAGGCACTTCAGCAAGTTTGGCATCTGACTTCCATCGGTCGAAAGTCAGCCTTTAGGAGCTTTTCTGATCTAATGTTTTGTTCATTCTTGGCTTTCCTAACTAAATTTTTGCATGGGGGTACCGCATGGGGGTACCGCGGCTACCGTTGTGTCCCTGCGTTTCAAATCTGTAATATCTTCGAAAATATTCAATTGAATTACATGCTTCGGAGGCCCATATTGATCTATATTGATTTTATAATGTATTTAAGGTACTTAATTGGATAATGATTAATGATTTATTGCTTGAAATCGCTTCGTAAATAAGTCACTATTTCTCAAAGATAAAAAATGGTTATTGTAGGTTATCCCTAAGATATTGACATACACAATCACGGACTTTTATGTAGACCATTTCAAGGTGTACAATAACTATAATACATTTTTAGCCTTTGCAATATAAGCGAAAAAAAGTGTTCGTTTGAAGGTGATTGACAATTTTTCATGATGAGTTTCATTAGTTCAGACTTCCATTGTCTAATATCATATAAAATAATTTGAAATCTCTGAAAAAATCATAACAAATGAAAAATTAAAAGGAATAGCTGAAAATAACAATTATATTGAGCAAAAATACAAGTAAAAAATTGAACAGTTGACAAAAAAAATAAAAATTGAGGGATTCCAACCCAAATTACTTCACGACGTTTCGATTGTTTGTATCCACAATCGTCTTCGGGTGATAACTGGACTAATTCATCCAAGAAATGAATATTTATGGGTCATCCGATCAAGAAACACACAGATCCGGAAACAGTATCTGTAGCAGCCTCACGAAAACCAGGCCACCAAACGCGGACTGCGATTCTAAGAATTACATTTACCGGATGAATATTTTGCCGAAAAATCTCGATCTACGGCACTACTGATAAAGAAATAATAAAAAATGGCACTTCAATTTTCAATGTGGTTTTCATTTGGTAATAAAATGATATTTAATTTTTTTCTACTTCATGATCCATGAATTGAAGATCTGAACATAATACCATCGATAGATTTCAATTCTTGCACGAAGGTTGGGTGAATCTCATTTCTCACGTCGAGAGTTTTTGACAAAGCGTGGGCGTATTTAGGATTTCATAATGAACGCGTGAACATAGAAGATTATTTTTCGATTGAATTCAGTGATGTTTTGAGCATCAGTTGCCAGGTACGCGACGTTATCAGGAAGGGGAAAGGATTTGGAAAGCCAAGCACGTTTGTTATTGTGGTATAAAGAAGCAAATGGAAACTGAAGTGCAGATATTGGCTGCCATTTTGTAGAGTCAATTGGTTGATCTACAAAAAGTGTATTTTAGATACGTGTTGAAAATATTGGTGTTTGATACGGGTGAAGTGCGAATACATAAATTTGACAGTGAAACAAACTTACTGTAGAGAAATTTAAAATGAATGTCCCAATTTTGTGGTGTATCGACAGCCATCTTGGTTTCGGAAAGGTTGGAGTCTGGCTTCCTTACCCTTTTGACTGATGTTTGTCAGAGGGACAAATGGGTCATGACTGATGATGGGATGGCGACATGAGTGTCCTCAGACATCAGTGTCGCCTTTCACGGTGTACGCCTACTTGGCTGGGGTGGGATGGATGAAAAAATTGTTCATCTTTCAATGGAGGACATAGAGGCCTCATTCGACAGAGTGTTGGGGCTTTCTATATCGGTAGGGGTCGTCTACAGTATAATCCATAGCTTCCCTGACTGATGGAATTTCATGAGTTTCTGCGCAATCAGAAACTCGCAGATTCCTAGACCGAATCGACTGCCAAATGAAAGGTAGCCGCAAATCTCAGCGGATGGCTTCATTCCGCACAAACCAAGGAGCATTCACAATCATCCTTATTAACTCATTCCGCAATTTCTCCAGAATGGAGATATTATACGTAGCCGCTTGTCCCCAGACTTAAACATCGTATTGTAGATGGTAATTTTGTTTTTGAGGCTTATTTTGTATTTTCTGTTGATCAGAGGGTACAGACTTACTACCCGACCCTCGATCTTTGTTTCAACGCACATGATGTGCGGGTTCCAAGTGAGCCTACGGTCTATTAGAAGACCGAGGTACTTTACCCGCGCTTGCCAGTCAATCTACCTTTCAGAGATTCTCACTTTTCTGGCCGGAGAAGATTTCAATCTTCCTATGGTTATCGCCTGAGATCTTCCAAGCAAGGTACCAGTGCTCGAGGTCGTCCAATGCGCGTTGCATGTAGACGACGCCGAGCTCCCGACCCATGGAAGATGAGAGGAGAGTCGTGTCATCGGCGTCTGGGGATATCTTCACACGCTCGGGCTTCGGAAGGTCACTGGTGTAAAGTGAGTACAGCGTCGGAGAGAGCACGGTCCCCTGTGGCACTCCAGCGAGGATCTCTCTGTTGTCAGAAAGAGAGCACTATACTCTAATCTGAAATGTTATGTCTTTCAGGAAGGACCCAATCCACTGGACCAGGCACCGAAGTAAGTCGAACGCGATTAATTTGTGCAGAAGACCTTCGTGCCATACACGGTCGAAGGCCTTCGAGATGTCTAACAATGTGCACTTTTTTATTATTGTTCAACACGTAGATGGTTTTTTTGACCAGCCTTAAAGCCTGTAACTCGTAGAGTGTTCTCTCCTGAAGCCAAATTGTTCATCAGGCAGAACATTTCGGGCCTCAACTTCTTCGTTGAGCCTTTGGAGAACAACTCTTTCAGCCAACTTGGCCGCCGACGAGAGCAGACTGATCGGGCGGTAGTTCTGCGAGAACAGCAGGTTCTGACCCTGTTTTGGGATCATGACGACGATCGCATGCTTCCACCTTCTGGGGAAGTATCTGAGGGTCAAAGAGCTGTTGATGGTGCACAGCAGGTTTTCAACGCAGTTTTCCGGAAGCATCTTCACCAACTTGTTGGTTATTGAGTCGACCCCCGGAGCATTCTTGGCCTTTGCGGCCCTGATGTAATCCTTCAGCTCCTCCACAGAAGCCGGGCGGATGTTATCGTAGTAGGGGCTACTTTGAATGCCCAGGCTAGTCAGTAGAGAACGGTGTGAGTTCTTTGGACAACTTTGCTAGTTTCTGATTTTCAATGTGTCAAGCAAGTGAAAATATGAATGTTAAATATTTGAATGGCTGGGCCCCAGCATTTTTTTTAATTTTATGATGGAAAAAAAATACAAAATACCATTACGAAGATAGTAATGAAAACTTCCTTCTGTGATCAGGTGAGCAAGAAAATTATATATTCACAAAAATTAATACATATATTTACAAAAAAAAAACAAAGATTGACCCTATTAGTATGATGGTTTCACCTGTTTACTCCATCATGTCTCCTAGCAGACACGTTGTTAAAGGTCGTTGTTCCCTAGTTGAGTTCAGTTGATCAGTGTGGGACTGAACACTTCCTCGAGAGGCAGGGTTGCTCACATGAGAATGGTTATGAAACAGGATTCTTAGGAAATAAATGTTTTGCACTTCACTAAATATAATTATGATAACAGGTGATGTAAATGTGAAACGGTTTCACATTAATATTCATTCATAGATACATTTAATAATATTCACAACAATTACTCTTAGTCATACTACTCTTGTATTGATGCATCAATGGTTTATATAAAAAAAATTAACCTTGAGTTCAGGAGTCAACATGTATAGGCAAATAAATAATCTCATGCAAAAAAAATTAACCTTGAAATCACCACTGAATGTGTATTAGGAAACAAAACAATGTTTTGTACAAAAAATGACCACTAAAAATTCACCAAATCATTTAAATTAGGAAATGGGATTATAAGCTTAATTCACTTGAAGTCTGTAACCAATCTACAAAGATATAGATAATGAGAAAAGATTGGTTATATCTTGATCTATGAACCGGAGATTTGTTGAACCAAGAGACAGGTCCCTTGCTCGAATCTGAATTCAGCGGCAGAGTGAATCTTTCCGAACGATGAAGCAAAAATTTGGATTATGACTTACAGTTTTTTTTATTTTCACTCACTGTGATCAGCAATCGGATAGAAATCCCAGGACTTCTCGTCAAAATTGCCAGTAACCTCTCACACTGATTTCAGGGATTTTTCACACCTGGAAGGAGGGACATCTTTTCTCAGCAGAAAATCTCAGGACTTTGATTCTTGCATCCGAGGAAACCCCAATTCATCAACGAATGTAAAATAGATAAGCTTGGGTTCAAATTCACAGTGATCACCATGAAATATTCAGATTTTTTTGAATCAGCATGATTACTTTCACATCCAAAAAAACTAAAACTCTCAGATATCGAGCTCTACCTTCTCAACTCTACGAGAGACTTCTCCCTTTTTTAAAAATTTCTCCTTCATCTTCTCTCCTTACCTATCTTCACGTTACTAGTGAACCAAAGATGGCTTATGTAGGAGGAGGAGGAACACTTGCCAATACCGGTTACATGGAATTCATAGATGTCACATTTTATCGTGTCATGAATACAATGAAATGACGGTAACGAATATATCGTTACACATCGTCATCTTCCTTGAGGATTCGGTGAACCCGATCTTCCAGCAGAATATCGC